GAATTACTTCCTTTGCGCAAAGTGGTATATAGCAGCAAGCTGTTGGGGGAGCTTGCAGACATGCAATCACCATGGCGCGTGCTCGGCGAAAAAATAATGTGGATACACACAGTCATGCACCGATCAAGTTGGCCTTCAAGAAATGGCATTGAAAAACAAGCTAATCGCATCGTACTAGGAGCATGATGCGCAAAGGAACAAAAGGTACAAGGCATGCAGTGGAAAGGCATAGGTAGGCTTTGCCACCAAGCCTCGGCATTAGATTGCACAACAAGGATTACAGCTCACAGAATGGGAAGAGCCCACACGGAAGCAATTGGGATAAGTGACAAAGCGGTTCCTAGGTCTGAGATGGCAAGAGGGTGGCGCTGAATTACACGAAAAGCGAAGGATGCGAAGCAGGAAAGCGCAGGAGGGCTCAACGTTGGTTTTGGGGGCAACGCTGACCTCACTGACCGGACTTCGCTTGTTGTTGGTGGCCTTTTCAGGCTCAGCGGCACGATTTTTCGGGCCTCGGGATGGCTTTGGTAGGGGATTGGGTTCATCGGGAAACAGGATAATGGAGTGAGGGACGTCACTGACACTGACTTGGAACTGTGTGATCTTAAAGACATCGCTGAACCCAAACTGCCATATGAGAACTCCGGCTCTGCGAAAACACCTGATGGGGATGGGCGGGGACTTTATGGCAAGCGCAGTGGCATGGATAAGCTCAGCATGATCATGCCAAAGGGAAACAAACCCTTGGGCAAGCACAGACGCTCTGGGAATCATAGAAATGTTCTCACTGGTGTATCTCGAATCACCCTGCAGGATCGTGGTTCGAGCTTCGCTGATGATGGAATTGGTTGCTCGGATGCAAATTCCTCGCTTTATAACCTGGAGACCGAGGAATCCTTTCACTATGAGGCCAAGGGTTCGGGCCTCGGCTTTGCCGGCTGGGGAGATGGGCCAATACCTCGGTATGATGGACACATCCTTAAACTGTTCACCTTAGCGCTAGTAGTCTCTGATAAACAATTCGCCGGAACCGGACAGCATGAGCAACTTGGATCGGTCGTCGGTGTTAATCCTAACAAGCGCCTGGTAGACGCTGGCATTGTCTTGGCCGTGCAACTTTCGGAAAGCATACAACGGGATTCCCTAATCAAGCTGGGAATATTGCTCAATCATATCATGGAATTGGGCGAGTAGGCCGGGTCGCTTTCCACGAAAAAGCTCATATGTGTTCTTGTGGGCAAGCCTCTCATCAACCTCAAGGACGAGTTCAGAGTGAGGGAGGAGAGTGAGGACGATGGGGGATTGCGGCTTCGGCTTTGCGACCTCAACCGGATTCCTCAGTATCACGATAAGCACCAAGCGCTTGTATGCAATTGCTGCGGCTTCATCCTACACTAGAATTTCAATGGGACCAATTGTGCGATTGCGGAGCTAACAACAGCAGGGCGCTGGGTCCTGGGACTTGGGCCTTTAGGTGGTCTTTGAGGAAACCCTTAGTACAGAATGCAACTCCAGGAGCAACAGCTCCGAGCTACAACCTCTTGACACAAATAAGTGGGGTGGAATCAATTGGGTTGTGAATGCAATGATCATTTGGGAAGGAGAGGTCCTCCCACTTTGACTTTCTCTAGATGGTGCCGCTCTGCCACGGGTCATGCACAAGCCACGGGTCAGTGGAAGACTTCTCCCAGGATCCTATCCGACGCGATACCACCACTTGGGGACCCATAAGCAGCAAGTGGCCGATCCCTCAATTCGGTCAATTGCATGTTGATCTGGTTGACCCGTAGTACTAGTTTCATAAACTGCGCCTGCATGTCTTTAGGATTGGGCCTTGATATCTGTCATGAAGGTCCTTGATACATCTAGCAATACGGGACAATTGGAGCTTCTGCTCCTCATGTTTCTGAGAACGCTCGTTAAAGGCTCCAGACATCCTATCACTGAATTGTTTCAAATCAGTGGCAGGGACAAGGTGCTGAATGTACGTTTCGACATTCCCGCGAATGGTTCTTTTCCTTGAGATGGTCCCCTCCATATCAATGACACTGCGGGAGTTTGCCTCGACCTCATCATTGATCCTTCGAATCTCAGCCTCAAGGGCCCCGATTTCGGAGAACCTAAGGAGCTAAACTTTGATGTTCTCAAGTGACTCGGCCTGCTCGCGGAGTCCAGCGGCAGAAACGATGACAGAATTGGACCTCTCATCATACATCTTGAAGCGCTCATTCATCTCCTTCTCGCTTCGAGCAATCCACTCATGGATTTCACGGAACTTGGCCTCGTGTCTCGACTCAACCTTTTTCTCGAAGGTATCAATGCGGTTGTTGATCTTCTTGATTTCACCAACGCATGCGCTGATATCATCCCTACATGAACGAATCTCAGTTCTGCACCCCTGGATTTCAGCCTTGCACCCCTTGATCTCGTTGTGAATCGCGAGAAGGAGTCGCTGAAGCTCAGAGGCGACAGGATGGCCCGCATTTGCGGAAGTGGTAGGGGCAGGACGGCTGTTAGCGTCACTAGCTCCCCGTCCACCTTCATTCCTGTCAGGAGTGCAACTCGGAGTTCCGATCTGAAAGAAGGTGGGGACGATGGAGTTGTCAGTCGGTGGATTCGATGGGAGCCCTCCATTCCCAGGGACGGCGGTATCAGACCGCTGTTTCCGGTTCCTGGGCGTGGCAATGCGTCATCAGTGTCCTTCTCAGACATCGGTGCATTGGAGCTAAGCCCAGATCCTGCAGAATGGATGGGAACGTGAATAGGATCGTGATGAGCAGGAGGAATGGATCGCAATCGAAGGGCAGCTTCGCGTCTCTCAGGTGACTCGGAGCTCCTTTTTGAGTCAGTGCCGGTTTGTCCCGGTGAAAAATCAAGAGATGATGATCCACGCAGTTGAGCTCGATCGTGATCAGGTTGAGTGAGATCAAGCCGTTGAGCAACATCGTCAATGAAGGGCTTTGGCGAAAGCAATATTGGCAACGCGGCTCGGTGGGAGCGACGTTGTGCGCCTGTCAGGCGTGATCTCAGCCTCGTCGATAACATCGAGGATCCCAGGGATGGTCTCATCATCCTCATTTCCTCTCCTGGGTGGCTGATGAAAGGGAATGTCGAGAAGATCAAAGGGAGTAGATCCAATACCAGTTGAATCCTGTTCGGATCCGCCACTGGCATGATGGCTGGACTGCTCTTCGAGGTCGATCAATCACATCAGGGGCGGACTCTTTTCGAGTCTCACGCCGATTGAAGGCCGCGAACAGACCGGCATGGTTCCTCGATGAAGTCGAGGACGGATTTGGGCCTGCTGTTTCGCGGCCCGCATCCGGTCGACGAGTACCTGAGGTTGGGCTTGGTGGATTTGAGCCTGCGTTGTAGCGGCTCGCATCCCGATCTTGAGTACTTGAGGATGGTAGTGGATTTGGACCAGCGTTGTAGCGGTCCGCATCCCGATCTCGGGTACCTGAGGAACGTGGATTTGGACCCGCGTTGTAGCGGTCCGCATCCCGATCATGGGTACCTGACAAGTAAGATGATAGTGCATCGGGGATGAAGTCCATATCCGCCGGACTGGGGTGATCATGAATGTATCAACATCAGATAAACCTGAAAAAGGAGGAAGGCCAGCTGTTTGCGGCCAATCCTCAATTGCTCGATCGCCCGCCCCGGGTTGGGCCGAGCCTGCAAATTGGGAAGGGGAGAAATCTTCAATGGGGTCACTCTCACCTTCAAGACGAAAATCCTCAATAGGCTCATGCGTGGGCAGAGCTCAAAAGGCCTGTTGAATCGGGAAGGTCGGGATGGCTGAGATGGGGTTGGCGCGCGCGACTGCCGCGATTGGCGTGGGCCTCATCGTCAACGAAGCCAGGTCCACGATGCGAAGCTCCGGGAGACGCCATTGCTTGAACGCGTAGGCGAGGGGGAGCACGTAGCGCCCCGCAACCGGGCCACCAGCCCCAGCTTCTAGCTATTACGGCTGATAACCTGCGGTTTTGGGCGAACACGAAATAGCCCAGAGAATCAAAAAGGTACACGTGATCCACGAAGTACCAAAAGAACCCAGTCCCAAAGCACAATGGAGAAGGTGCTGATGACCAGGTTGTGGGAGTGACAGTTGAAGAAGATCAAGTGGAGGACGGTTGGAAAACAGGTTGAAGAGGTAAGAGTTGAATACCAAACCCAGGAAAGCCCAGCACGGCGCCGCCCACCCCCTACCACCAGCAGGTCCCTACTCCGCGAACCTTTTCACGAAGAAGAACCCCGCTGCCGCGGTATGGCAAACGAACAGACACCCTAAGCTACCTGACGGGAGGTAACAACACTTGAGTTAAACGGCCATTCGGCCGGTTTGCCTTATGAAGGAACAACACGTGAACAAAACACAAAAATAATATAAGTCTATTATTTTTACTTCTTGTTTCGTTAATCCTTCCTCCGTCTTCTCACTTCCTCCTCTTAAACCAATACAAAAAAAACAATCAGAAATCAAATCAGATCTTGATTTTCAACAAGCACTATCAATATAATCCTTCTTTACGAGAGGACGACTAATCGGCTGAGGTAAAGAAGCAGCCACTTGATTTGCAAAAACCCTCCTTAAGCGACTTCGCCCCCCCCACTTTCACCTCCGTCTCAAAGATCTTGACAAAAAAAGGGCCACAAGCAACATGCACTCCACAAACATTCGAAACAAAAACACACGTGCACACGTGCTGCTGCCCGCACTGGGCTTTGATGTGCAGACGCGCGCGCGCATCGATTTCGTTACACAACATTCTGCACAGAGTTGTACGGGATGCTACTGCAGGGTGGTGGCAAGGTGCTGCCGCAAACCGAAGCCTCCCATATACGCTACACAAATCCACTAAAACTTCACTTTGGGAAGCGAGTGCCAATGTTGGCAAGCGAATTGCCGGATCACTCTGTTATGGCCAGTGTATGCAGGACGCAAGGCAAGTCCACTCAAACATCAGCTGAGAAGTAGCGCCTTAAAAAACAAATCCATCAAAACTCCGGTAAGTGAGTGGCGTGGGCTTCTCGGGTTGGAGCCAAGCAGAACCCAGTCTCTCACTTTCATCGCAGGCCGGCCGCGCGCTCACGATGCCTCACAGCCAGGAGTTCGCCCCGGGCAGACGCAGCTGAATGCACTTGGTGGCATTGAACAGCTGCAACGCCTCCCGGTAAAAACGTGCCGGACATGGGAACTTGGCAAGTGCCTTGGATTTTCCTGAAAAATACTTGATGGACGTTGCCGGTTTTCAGAGCTGGGTTCAGCGCAGTTGTCCTTTGGCTCTTGCTTCGGATAATGAAAAGGACCCGATCGAAAAACAATCCTTAGATGCTGATTCGGTCCACGCCCCATTCACAGATGAGAGTTGCTACAGAACCCTCAAGGTAGAATCAACAGAATGCAGTCACAGAAAGGGGCGCCCATGAAGATTCTTGCATGCCAGATGATAGATGGTCATCCACAGACACCAAGCACAACAAGGCCATTTCCCCCCTCCCTCCCGCCGTGAGGGCAATGCTCCAGGAGCTTTCCACGCACCCGTAGAGCTCCAATGGGCTCAAAGGATCGATGAGCCTTGCAACTGTGTTTGTAAAGGGTCGATGGGGATGGGTTGAAGGTGGGTTGAAAGTTGAGCGAACATCGGCGGAACAATCTGTTAAACAAGGCATTGGATACAAGAAAAATGCTGAGAAACCATGGTCTCGAGTCGAGATATATGTGTTGGGAATGCAACAAGTGTTCTTTGAGGTGTGTAGTATATGGGCTTGTCCTGCAAAAGAGCATTGTTTTATGGCTAGAGAAGGGCTAAGACCTCCCTTTGTTGGGGCGGACGGCAACAGTTTCCCATCTTTGCCGCCGCCCCTTTTTCGCAACCAGCCATCAGAACACTCCCAAAAATCGCGAGAAATTTGGGATGCAAGGATTGCCGGACTCTGCGGAATACGAGGCAATGACAAATCTGAATTTCTTTCACATGACCTGTGTGCGGCCATGTGTGCGGCCAAGTAATTCATGAGGACTTTCCCAGGTTGGAGGAAGCAGTTTGTCCGTGACCAGGGCTGAGAAGATTTGTTGCCACTAAGGGGGGTCCCAGAAAAGATCTCTCGCCTGCGTCTTTGGATGGCGCAAAGCATGCACAAGGTTCTGCTTTGCAGAGGTACTCTTGGCATGCATGAGTCTGCCTGTGTGAAATGAACCTTTGACAGCAAGTGACACACCAAACGTAGCAAACATGTTGCTCAGCGCAAGAGCTACCCGATTTAGCAATTAATCCCTCAAAGCAAGCTTAAAGGTCCTGTCGCACAAATGGCTTCGTAGTCACTGTCACCCCCAACCTGTAAAACCTCTGGCAAACCTTCAGCGGCTCCACAAAAAGGCCTGACATGCAATTGGGGTGTCTCACAATGAGTTGGACTGCCCTGTGTAGAATCTTGGCAAGAAATCTCTCCTCAGATTCAAAAGCCTCTTGCTGTCCTGGCGCCAAAAGATATATATTTGGCCAAAACACATCCTTCGTTCGCTTAGTGCCAATGGCACCCTCGCAGGGTTTCCGCGCATTGTTTCAGGACAAGGTTCAAAGGCTACAACGTAGGTCAACCTAAAACGAACTGCAAGCCATTCATGTAGCCGTAGTAGGCAATTGCAGTTCAATCGACAAGAGCAGGCGTCCCCTCAAAGGATATCATTTGAAAAGTTGGAGAATCCAGCCAGCCAATTTTGACGAACAAGGTTGATAGTCGGTGTCGCATTTGGAGAGAATCCATCACTTCTAGGGATAGCCTCCCGCTTTGTCCAAACTGATCCCGTTCCGAGGTCCAGGCTTGTCGCGCATCGGACCGGTGAACTTCAAGAGCAGCAGCGCACCGCCGGTCAAAGTCTGGACCAACTCGGGGTCCACGCGGCGGAAGAGCTCCTGCCGAGATGTCTCGAAGCTTCGGTGTTAATGGGAAGGGACGCTTCGGGGTGGGTATATCTTGGGGGAACTGCAGCCAAAAAGGACGGCAAACACCTTACGCTCGCAGACAGCTTTGCTTGCGCAGCGACTGCACGTGGCTCAGCTTACGCAGCCTACTCAGCATTGGACAGACAGCCTTGCAGCGATTGCAGCGCGGTCACCGAACACAAAGCTTACGGAGCCTAGCTTACGTACCAAGTTTGCACCTTGGTGGGTCTGGCCGGCGCTGGCCGGATGAACCCTCTGCGGGGATCGTGCGTGTTGAGGCGCTACGTGGCCGATGAGCCCTCTGCGAGGATCGTGCGTGTTGGATCGCTCTCGCTGCTGTGGTGCCGTGCGAATTTCCTTTCTGGCCAACGAGCCCTCTGCTCGCTGACGATAGAACGAAAGTAGCACACAAGTGCACTTCGGCAGGCAGCTGGCAAACGTAGTGCGTGAAGTACACTTCTCCAGATCCGGCTTGAGAATGACAAATGGTAAGTATGATCGTAGTATGCGAAGTACACTTCTGCAGCTCCAGTTTGAATCGCACGGTCAAGCGCGCAAGTTAACCGCAAAGCACACTTCTGCAGCCATGGCTCAAGCAAGTGTTGAGCACGAAAGTAGTACGCGAAACGCATATATTTCTGCAGCTCCAGCGATCCAGTCGGATTTAAGGACAAAAGCAAAATGCAAAGTACACTTCTGCAGCTCCAGCTCCAAAACATCTCAGCACAGCTTTGCTACACAGCACATCCCAACATCGGCCTCGGAGCACACATCAGCATAGCCTTGCTTCGCGGCACAACTCAAGATAGCTTTGCTACACAGAGATTTCAGCACAGCCTTGCTTCTCAGCGCGTCTCAACATAGCCTTCCTGCGCAGCACGTCCTGTGCTCCGCAATCTTGCTTCCCAGCGCATCTCAACATAGCTAGCCTAGCCTTGATTCAGCGGAGTCTGCGTAGCCTGGCTTCGCGCGGGACATCTCAACAAAGCAGCGAACAGCTCTGCTATGCGCAGCTCTGCTCTGCTGGGCCTGCATCGACAACCACGCTGTTACAATAGGATTTCGGCCCAATCGGGAGCTAGTTTTGAGCGCCATTTTGATACGTTGGCCGCAAGGGAAGTCAACACAAATATCACTTGTTTCTCCCGCGACACCCGTTTAAATTAAAAGGGGTCATGGTTAACTCACGCAGCTGAAAAGAACGAAGAAACCCACAAACCTTGTTCGTGGGGCCCGGGACCGCAACCTAAATTCCATTTGTCAACTGTGCCATGATGAACTACGAGTGCCACCCAGCTCGCTCCTTAACGGTTTCATCGGGGTTGCTCCACCTCGCGTACGAGCGGACGCAAACACATGCCTGGCTTCCAGCTGTTTGTTGAGAGTCTGTTGGTTGTTGAGCTAACTAGTTAGCAACTGGCTAGCTGGGTAGCTCTCTGGCTCAGTGGCAAACTTAGTCAAGATATGCTGCCTGCTCTCGCGCCAGTTTTCTGGTTTTCCTGTCTTGAAGGACAAGATCAAGAATCGTATCCTCGTCTTTGCTTTCTGCTACCAAAGTCAGAAGTCTGGCTTGTAGAAGTAGATGGACCAGCAAGTTTAGCACTTGTGTGAACTGGCTTTGCAACTTTGAGTTTTTGGCATGTTCGAAAAGCATTCGGAATTACCAGGAATATTTCAGACGGGCCTACCGAAGTCTTCTTGCAACACCTGTGACCTTGTTCCTTCCATTTTCAGGCAAGGGGGGAACTTCTTTCCATCCATGAAAGCCACGCATCAAAGCCACACTGGCTGCTGAATTGGATGCTACGCGGTGTCTCGTTCATCCAAAGAGTAATGCTCCCGGCAAGCCGTCGCGACCGTCAAACCGTCTGGGGTCGTGGCCATCGTGGGTTCAGGTGTCCTTGGTGCAGCGGGGCCAGAAGCCAAAAACCAACTGCATGCGGTTACCAAATTGGAGAAACACAGACATCGCTCGGAAAAGCAGAGCAAGGCGACTATAAACTTTCAACTTGACCATGTTGCTGGAACCAAAAGTCAAAGGGTTTTGGGACTCAGACTGCTCGTCTCCAAACACAAAATGTGTTTGCGCTCAGCCCCCACAATCGGGGCTCATTTCCTTTGCAGGGACGGCGTTCAACATTCTTATCATGCGCTAAGCCGCCAATTCCTGCGAGATTGAGGGAACCAGCTTTCTACCGCTCAGCTTTCCGGCTTTGTTTTAGGTTTCATTGGTGCTCATTTCCCAAGTCACGCCTTTGATACGGAGGACGTTCGAACAAATCACACGGCCTTACTCTTTTGCTTTTTGCGACCCAGCCAGAGATTCAGGCCGGGGGATGGCGTGACAAAATGCGACTTCGAATTTGAGCTTATCAAAAAAGGACATTGCCAAATGAAAGCGGCCAATTGATTGCTTGTGTTTAAGTGGTTTAGAACAAACACCCCAATAAGGTCTGATCGACTTGTTGCCAAATGCCGGCCGGCAATCCGAGAGTCCCAGAAGGTTTCTCCTTGTCACCGAGGGCCCAAGCCACCACTCCTTCAGGGCCTTGTCCTGGCGGGCCCATCAACTGCCGCAGGCCGAAACACGAATGAATCGAAACAGCAAAGGTCGGCTTGGAGAAGTGACAACTACAAGAACCAGAACAAGGACCGACAAGAACAAACACAACAAAAGACGCCAGAGGAACAGTTCATGGTGGTGTCTGACCAAAGAACCTGGGAACTTCGACTGGGAAATTGTAGAAGGCGTGGGATCGCTCGTCGTGGGAGACGTGAGGTGCGGCGGCGCTGAAAGATCTGGCCCAAGAGCAAGCTCTGCCATTGGCGGGATTCAGTCAGTGTCCTAGAGAGCCAAGGTAGAGCTGGCGAAGGCGATTGACCGAAGTTTCACGCCGTATTTTTCTCCTTCTCCTGCTCTTTCTCTTTCTCTGTGTCTCTTTCTTTGTCTCTGCCTCAGTCTCTTTCTCTGTTTCAGTCTCTTTCCCCTCACTTTCCTTTCTGTTCTCTATCTCTACACCTTTATTTTTTTTGTCGCTTGCGATCTTGCTGTCTCTCTATCTCTGTATCTCTCTATCTACCTGTTGTACCAATCTATCAACCAACCAACCAACCAACCACCAACCAACCAACCAACCAACCAACCAACCAACCAACCAACCAACCAACCAAGCAACTCTCAATCTATCCCTCTGTCTCTCTTTGTGAGCCCTTTCTGTAATTCTTTCTGTCTTTGTGTTTTCTGGCTAAGAGTCTACCTGGCCCTTTGCCTGTTTGTTGCTTATCCATCTCTTGGTTCTCTTTCCAACTGTTTGCTTCTGCATTTTCCTATCCAGACAAACTAGCTATCTATCTGTTTGTCTATATACCTATCTGTCCATGCCTTCTATCTATCTGCTCCTACCTTTGGCATTTTTCTCGGCGTTCTGTGAAAGCTCATCTGCTCGGAATGGAGATTTTGGTGTGAAGCTGCATGATAATACCACATTCAGTCCTCAATAGATCTTTTTGACATTCGGAATTGAACTTGAAATGCTACGAACAAATATTGACAGGAATCGCTCTCCTCTTGTTGTTTGAAGAGAGTTGGTTTAGACTGTAAATGCACTCATATAACATAGATGTAAATTTGAATGTAGACAGCACTGCGAAAGGACATTTAGCGCCTTTGCAATTCATTTGCGTTTCAATTCCAGCTAGCAACTTCGCCAGATGCTATAACAAGCTATAACAAGCTGCGTGCTGCGTGGAGTAGGTTGAACCTGGAATCCGAGCTAGCTCAAATAGGCTTGAAAGTCACATTTCTCAAGATTCGAGAGTCTGAAGAATCAACAAGGACTCTTAAATCTCAGAACATTGGGTAAATGCAATTTGAAGCCAACAAAATTTTGGTAGGTCGATTTGGAGGGGGGGTTGGCGGTAGCGAATCTATGCATGAATATATGCAACACATTGGCCACACTTTGTGACTGCAAACCAACTTGTGCAATGATGAAAATCTGGAAAATGTCAAATGTAATTGTGGCATGACACATGCCTACCCCGAATAAATGAAATGCTTGCTGCGCCTATTCATGGTTGGGGCTGCCGCGCCTCAGGGGAAGAAAGCTAAGCAACAGTCTCATTTTTTTGGATGTTGACCAGTGCATAGAGGTTCGGAGCAAGCCTGCAAAAGTCCAAGCAAGTACACAAGTCTGGTTTCGACGTTTGAACTGCCCTTGCTGCCCGATCGGAGGCCTCATCCAAGACTTTGAACAAGCAGGCATCGGTGGCCAGGTACTCCCAAATACCCAGCGCCAGCAGATTCTCCTGCTGCCTCTCTCAAAGGGTGCAAGTTTTTTGGAAGGGTTGCTAGACATATGCATGGTGGATATGTGTGGGTTTTGCGATTGGTCAGCAAACACGCAAGGTTGAAGAGCCACGACCTTGGCCTTCTCTTCCGGACCCAAAAGCAAGCTGAAAAGTCACGGTGGTCGGCCTTCCCGAAACTATATGCATGCTTTGCAACAACCCGACTGCGCTTGACTCACAAAACGCTGATTGATTCCGCTTGTCCCCCACTAACTTTCCCAAGGCAACGAGATGAAACTATCCGTGTGTTCCCTAACAGAACAACAGATCGAAGGTACGGGGCTTATCCAAAGAAGGGGCCTTGGACCCTCTCTCTCTCTCTCTCTCTCTCTCTCTCTCTCTCTCTCTCTCTCTCTCTCTCTCTCTCTCTCTCTCTCTCTCTCTCTCTCTGGCTCTCTTTCTCTTTCTCTTTCTCTCTGTCTCTCTCTCTTTCTCCCTCTCCGCAAACAGTGTTAATATCTTGATTGATGTTTATCTATAAACAAAAAAATCGCAGAACGACGGCTCGTTTTGACCCAAGTACTCCTGAGCCTGCTGGAAATTAATGATGAACCCGACAAAACAACATTGTTAAAGCAGCCGCGACTTGACTTAGCTGGCAAAGCAGCGGGGTTGATGCTAACAGGTCCGCTGCTCACGTCTTCATTAAAGCGGTATAACAGGATTCCCCCTTTACTGGGAAAACGGCAAATCTGTTTGAGCGCTTTACAGGGAATGAACGTTTTACCCGTGCTCAAGCGCACCTGCCCAGCACTGCACACCCCACTTGGCATTTTGTGAACGCCTGCCAAAGGATAAGGCACCCCGCCCAAGCATGCCCGCCCAGCATTGCGCACACACCCGTGCTGAAGTGCACTCGCCCGGAAGCGGACGCCTGCCAAATAAGAAGATTTCCCTCTCAAGTGCATGGGCCAGCACTGCCTGCGCCTGCAACATGCAAAAAATACCGGTCCAGAGCGCTCGCCCAGCGCAACCTCGCACGCCTACACCACTCAAGCGAGCCCGCCAGTACTGTGCAGAAGCGTGCCGTGCACTTTGCGTACGGCAAAAACTTGAAATTTTGATCTGGAGCTGCCTGATGAGCTTCGTGTACCTATGCTTGTAGCATGCTGCGGGAACTGCGTTTGTCATGGAATCTAGGCACGGTCAAAACCACGGCAAACCGAGACGCAACAGCTGATGGTCGGAGCAGAGAGAAGACGCCGGGTTTTCCGTTTTACAACTTTCATGTTTCAATGAGGAAAGCACTTGGATTCCTTGAGAATGTAACCCAGATGCATTTTGCCACACCCATGCTCAAACATGGGTTACACCCCACTCAACCTAAAGTTTGTCAACCAGTCTCAAGCATCGGCGCCTCGCTGTGAACATGTCGGGATACTCTGCGAGCAACTTTGTGTCACTCTCGCGGTGTAGGCGCCTGAGTGAGGCGAGTCTTCCTGGTTGTTTGTTGGTTCCCTCCTAGCAACCAGTGGTTTACCGTGTCTAAAACTAAGTCAAAGGCAAGCACGGCACACGCTTTCCTTTAACGGGCGAATTTGCCTTTAGCTGAAAAGCCAAACCCGCCACAGAAATCAAGAAGGGAACGCAAGCAAAGCAGCTCACTCCCTGGCAAAGCGCTCCTTCAGAACAAGTATCGAAGTTGACTGGGGGATTAGAACGACTGCCAACATATCAGGATAGCCTGCACGTTTACCAAAAATAGGAGCCCGCAACAGATGAGTGTACTGGGAGCAACAAACTGGACACCAATGCCAATTTTGGGTCCGGTCCCCTGCATGATGTCCCTCTGTCCACTCAAATAGTCGAAGGATGTCGAAAAGGCTCAAACGGTGCAGGTACTCCTATGTAACATGGCTTTTAGGATTGGACATGCTTTTGGCTTTCATGTCAATCTCCAGGAATGTGAGCCAACGCCCCATGGTCAGTTGGGATTCATTGCGCCTCACAGCAAGATCCGGGAAAGAAATTGTAAACGGTATGCTTTTTCGGGTTTTGGGAAACCAAAAGGAAACCACATACTTCTTGGGGGCAAGCCATCCCCTTTGGTTTGCTCAAGCAAAAAATGCAGGCTTTTCTGAATCTACACCGAGAAGAGTTCGAAAAGAAACAATACAAGTGCCCTGCGTCGTTTAACTAGCCGCGCGGACGCCTTCATTGGCTCCTAGGCTTACGGCATACGACAAATGCGACCAAATTCTGTGATGAAACCAACTTGCCATTTCAGCAACCCACGCTACCAACCATCTGCCCAGCGACCCTAGCAGAAAAAGGAACATTCTTTTTCGTCAGCCACTGAACACCTAAGATACTATTGGCAGACCTGATGGAGAGACCATTGGGAGACAAGGTCCCAATATTCCAGAAGGGATGCTCGTCACTGCACACAGGTTTCTGCCCTGTTGGAGAGCTGCAGCCGCTGAGCATGGTTGAGGCCAGTTCGGGGCCAAAGAAAGACAAAAATGGGTCACAAGCTGCAAACAGCAATTGGGGCATAGGAACACAGCCTTCTACTTGATTCGTTTGATTACTTCAGTTGTTCACAAAGGCCCCCACATTGCTTTTTGATGCGCTCCCTGCTCTCAAGGGCGCAGCCCCAAATTGTGGCCGTTTTTGTTTGAACAGCCGTCACAAAGGTATGGCTTGTCCGGAGTTTGAGAGCCTGCTAGCCCATATGGTGCGTTTAGGGTGGGTGGGTTTGGAGTGTTTGGCCTAATGCAATTTTTTGCTGGGTTGGTTTTGGCTATGGCCCGGGCGGGTCACTCAGTTGCTTGCTTGGCGATGTGGTAAATCGCAATCCAGCGGAGCAACAAATCAGTAAAGTTGCAGCTCTGTCCCTGTCTTAGTAGGGAGCGAATGGGGGTGCTCAATTCTACCTGCAAGAAGTGGAGCCACGAATAAAACGCCTGGGATTGGGCGGGGGCTCCCCCACCTGGAATTGGTGTTGGTTGCCCACCAAGTTTCCTCCTGCCATGCCTGGGCGCTTGACGCAGCTGAGGGTTCGGACCAGGAAGGGGTCCTGCACAAAGTTGAACGGGAGCGACAGCCCCGAAGAGGGAAAGAGTAGGATCCCCCGTTGTGGGGTTGAATCGGGATCAGCAAAAAATCCCCTAAAGGAGGGAACACATTGAGAAAAAACTAGCCCTTATTGTGGGACAACAAAGTGGGATTCCCATGACTACGACTGTTCAGAATCACGCTCTGATTGGACTGCGCCCAACTCCAGCCAAGAGGTTCTGAACCAATTGGTCATTTCCTGACAGGGCAAAAGGGCGGCAATGTTTTTTCCAAAGCTGCGAAGTTCAACTGCGGGACGGAACTGCAAAGATCTAAATACGACGCTACAGAGAAAGATATCCTTGTCCATAGATCAACGTTTCAAGGTTGAACCAAAGAGCAACCAATATCTGTTTTGTCCAGGCAATCTCCTTTGGGTTCCTTTCAAAACACGCACTTTCGGCTGACAAGCAGCTTTTTGCGAGCAACCCTGCACGGTGGCGCTATATTCCCTTTCCCCTTGACTGGTGGCACCTGGTCATCACTAGGAAGCGCGTGCCTGGCCTATTCTGGAACAGCTGGTCATGCGGTGGCTGCAGGTGAAGCTTCTGGGAAACCAGCGTTGTGCTGGAGCACCTTTGGGTTCCCTCGACAAATCAAGTTCGCACTCTACAAAAGCTCCGAAAGCATCTTGGTGCAATTTGCCTTTCAGCCAAAAGGGGCCTACGCAATTTCTCCGTGTTGATCGTGTGCTATGGTCGCTGCTGTTTCGATTCCTTCTTCCATGTGAACCAGAACCCCTGATTCACAAGGGGATTGAGCAATCTAATCTGGTCCCCTACCCACAGACCGTTGCCAGTGTAGCCAACGCTTTGACACTTCTGCGGCACCACTATCTAGAATGGCCCAATGACTGATTGCGCTACAGGGCCATGCTTCATGACAATGACTTTCCATCCACAACCCAAAGCCCCGATTCTTAGAAACATGCCCTTTGAGATTGAGAGCCTTTTGAGGCACCTTCTGCTAGTTTGCAGGCAGCCCAGGCTTGCAGAAGGCCCACAAAGAAACTTGCCGCGAGTACCATTGTTTCACCCTTTCCCCGGCTATTCGCCTGGCAAAACCCAGCCAGTGTACCGCAAGTGCCCACACTTCAACCGTTGGACGCATCTCAGATTGAGACTTTCGACAGTTTGGACACGGGTAAACAAAGAGCACATACAACATCGTTTCCACTGTCAGACGCGACAAGTTTCCTTATCCAGAGATGTCCAACTTCTTTGACATGGTTGAACTCACTGTTGGCCTGCATTACTTGATCTTCATATTGGCCACATTTGCTGCTGCCAACAAGACACTTGCCTTTGCTGGGATTGATGAGTTTCTTCACGAGTCGACTCATTGAGGTTCCTTGGTTGCATGGGAGCAACAAGTGCCAGTATGGTTTTCTTTGCCTGAAGCCGGAGAGTGTTGACTGCATGCAGCGTGACTGGTATCCTGAGCTGGGGCAAGACCCAGGGAATTGGGAAGAAGAATGCGAACGACGTAGCCCGCAAAACAAGAAAGCTAGCATGAGCCACGCAGCTACAGAGCTACTCAAGGACTGCTCTTTGGAAGCAAGAAGGCCGACTGGCGTAAACCCTTACAATCCGCAATGGGCCAGGCAAATCAAGTCCACAAAGGTCCGAAGCCATGTGAAATGACCTAAGTGAGCACTCATGTTTGCAAATGAGTGTGTCCAGCATGCGTGTTTCTGCTTGCCGTTGAGAATGTTCTCTTGCCGCTTGCTTTAGGAGTTCGGGATCTCTCAGCAGAAGCCTGTCTTGTGCATAGCTGAATCCGTCCAAACCAGTGCTCGATTTTCCATCTGGAAAAACGCGTTTTCAACAATATATTCTGATTGTTGCGGGCCCCTTTGCGGGCAACGATTTCCAGTCGCACCCATCTCCGCAAAAAAACAACAAGTAAACGCACCCCACGAAGCATTGGAATCCGTCAGGACTCTGTCCTGTGGAGGCGCAGCAAAAAACCAGTTCTCCACATGCAGCTCAGCGGTGACCCGCTTCTCCGCAAGGCTTCTGGGAGAGGTGAGGGCCAAAGAAAGACAGTGGGAACATTGCCTCTTCGTGGGAAACCTGGATGGGGGCCGGCATTGGTTCGTGTGGGGAAGTCGTGGCCCAACCCGCAAGTCGTTGGAACTTGGGTTGTTTTGAAAAACTTGGGCCCGGCCACCTGGCTGTTGTGGTTGGGTGGCTTCTTGAGAACATTCGGGCACAGCCTCTCCTGGTGCTTGTAGGGAACAAACCTTTTCAAACTGGGAGCTCCAACCTGCATGTGGGGAACGCGAAGAATATCTTATCCCTGCAAGTGTTTTTACGAAAAGCATTCATCAACCCATCTATCCAGTGCATTTACCCAGTAGAAAGCTGGTAAGTTCATCTTTGCCAACAAAGAGCCCGCGACGCCGGTGGTCGGAAGTTTCTAAAGAATAGAAACTATAGCTCTACTCTTCTTTATTCTATTTTTTTTGTTTTCTCTTCTTCTCCCTTTCCTTCTTTGCATTCACTGCTTTCTATCTTTCCATCGCTCTTTTTTTCATTCTTTCTTTCTTTCTTTCTTTTTTCTTTCTTTCTTTCTTTCTTTCTTTCTTTGTGTTTCTGCTTTTTTGTCTACTCCTTTCTTCCTTTTCGTTCTTTTCTATTTCAAGATCTATCTACCTTTTGATCATCTGTCTAGCCATTCCTGTCTCTACCTTCCTACTCATGATACTCATGAGCTCGATCTATCCGCTTCTGTACTGCTCTAGCTATTCATGCAGCAAGTCTCTCTCTCTCGCCCTCCCTCTCCCTCCTAATCTGCTAATCTATCTCCCCATCTACGATCTACCGATCTGCCTATCGTTCCATTCATCTACCTCATATGTATCTGTCTACCTACTTTCATTTATCAATCTAACTATCTTTCTTTCTACCTCTCCCTCTCTGTCTGTACATCTGCTTATCTAATCATGAAACAGTCTGTCTATCTGCCTCTATCTGCCTCTATCTATCTATCTATCTATCTATCTATCTTCTATCTCTATCACACTCTCCATCTGTCTGTCTGTCTGTCTGTCAATCTATACATCTATCCCTTCTGTCCTTCAAGCTTGCGTTTAATAAGGGGGGTTGTAAAAACTAAAGCCGCTCAACGTTGATCGTCAAAGAAAATACAGACGGTACATTGATAATCTATTGAACAATGACACAGAAAATAAAAACGTATTATCAGGCTATAAAACGATTGTAAAAAGTCGTGGTGTTATTAGTTTATGCCAACGTATGCAGTGGTGACGCCAACATTGACACTTTAAAAGGTAAGACTTTAATAGAACTACTTGATCTTCGCAGGCGGTGGACATATAGAGACAGCAGCTAGATGAGATGTCACTACTGGTTTCATTGAAGTTTGCACAGATAGATCATTCGAGGGGTATGCGCATTATCTTTGTCAAGAAGGCTTGCATAGTTCTTCAACTTGTGCCGCGTTGGAACTGGATTTGGGACAACTTGCAGGTTGTTTATTCGTATTGGTTGGCTATCATATGATTGTACAACAGTCCCGAAAGCATCGCGCAGGGATTTTTTGGAAACACGGTTGCCGGCTACACAGCTCACTTACGCAGCGCGAATGACACAGCCTGACTTACGCAGCCTGGCTTACGCAGCGTGACTTACTCGGAGAGAGAGAGAAAAAGAAAGAGAAAAAGACAGAGAAAGGGAAGAAGGAAAAAGGGAAAAAAGAGAAAGAAAGAGAAAGCGAAACAAAAAAAGAGAGCGAGAGAAGGAGAGATAGCAAGAGAAAGAGAAAGAAAGAGAAAAAGAAAGAAAAGAGAAAGATAATGATAAAGATAAAGAGAAGGAGAAAGAGAAAAAGAGAGAGAGAGAGAGAAAGACATCAATATATAACATGTTGCATTTGTCAAGCGAGGGCGCAGCGATTGTACAGCGGGGCGCGTGCGCAGCTCAGCGTTGACTGCGTGGGCTTGATTGCGCAGTTTTACGTTCGCCACTTAGCATTGCACATGGATCATGAAGCAACGCTGCAACGCGATCGCTGCATGCTAGAAATGGGTTGCTTAGATGTTTGCCTGGGGTGTGTAAGTGCCTGGATGCGTGGCACGACGCAGTGTACACAAACAACATCACACCTGTGTACATCACAACACACACACACGCTTTCGGGATAACGGCTTCTAGTTTTTATATACAAACAAGAAGGTTGGGGCATTCAATTTTAACATGAAGCCGGCTTACTCCAACCAGCAACCCTGGCCCAAAACTGCTTATACATAAAACACCTTCCTTATCTAGGATGTGCAAAATGAGTGAACGCAAATTATCAGAGAACTACTTGAACACTGGATCAGGTACAGTGTTGAGCATCACTTCTTGTATGTTTGGTGATGAAGGCTGGCATAGACTGAAACGGTCAGACATGGACACCTTCTATGAATACTGAAGTTACTGTTCAATGTAAAACTCCTGAAATCACAATCACGAATTACCATCGCTAAATTTTGCAACAACAAGTTCAAAATGTGAAAAGGCGTTTTAATACGCATTAAACCCGTCAAAGAAATAACAATAAAACAAGTAGTGAGCCATGATGATGAGCTGAGGATTGAGGTGTGTGTCACGGTACTGTTTACTTGGTCTGAAGGAATTGCTTCACGTCATTTTGCGTCAGGGAGTATCATAGAACAAGGAAAGACACACTTAATTGCGTAATGCAAAAGACGCTGGTCGAACTTTGCAACTCTTTACATCCTTTCATTGTACTGTAATTCACTTGCAACACACAGCAAGTGAAAATAACAAAGACAAAACCAAGCGCTCGCCAAACACCCCGCAACGTGACAACCGAAAGACAAGCTTGAATCCTATAGCCAGAAGCCAAGATGGACACAAAGAAGGTAAAAACAAACTAGACCACGGCTGGCCCGAAAGCGTAACATCGCAAGCGAGGTCGGCCCAACGCTGCAGGATGCGTTCTTTTCCCCTCCACGAAGCATTTGTGAAGCAAGGGCGAGACAGCACCAGGCAAGGTGCTCTGCGCAAACTGGTCGGTGCAAGTTGGTCTGCGCAAGTTGCTCTACGCAAGTTGCACTGTGCAAGTTGCTCTGCGCAAGTTGCTCCGCGCAAGTTGCTCCGGCAAGTTGGCCCCAGCAAGTGGCTCCCTGCAAGTTGCTCTGTGCAAATTGCGCTCCCTGCAAGTTGCTCTGTGCAAGCTGCTCTGTGCAAGTTGCTCCGTGCAAGTTGCTCTGCGTAAGTTGCTCTGCGCAAGTTGCTCTAGGCAAGGCGCTCTGCGCAAACTGGTCGGTGCAAGTTGGTCTGCGCAAGTTGCACAGACAGTGCAACTTGCTCAGCGCAAGTTGCTCTGCGCGAGTTGCTTTAAAATGCAAGTTGCATCTTGCGACGCCCGCCCGCGGACCAGGGAGGAATCGAACCCGCGACCCGCCGGTTCCGGGAGCAGGCGCGCGAACCACGAGACAACTCCCGAGGACCAGTCCGATTCCCGCAGAAGGTTGCGCGAGCACCGCAGAAATCGCAAAAAAACTCAAGTTTTTGCACCTCGACCACGCCGATCCCCACAGAGGGTCGCGCGGGCACCGCAGAAATCGCAAAAAAAAACCATGGGTTTTTGCACCTCGACCACGCCGATCCCCGCAAAGGGTCGCGCGGGCAGATCAGAAATCGCAAAAAACCTCGAGTTTTTGCATCTCAACCACGCCGATCCCCGCAGAGGGTCGCGCGAGCATGTTAAAAATCGCAAAAAAACCATGGGTTTTTGCACCGCGACCACGCCGATCCCCGCAGAGGGTCGCGCGAGCACCGCAGAAATCGCAAAAACAACCATGGGTTTTTGCACCTCGACCACGCCGATCCCCGCAGAGGGTCGATTTTCGTGTAGTGTGGTCGGCACTACCCCGCCGCCCGAAGAAGAGATTTCAACTCCTCGCAAGTCAATTGCACTTGGCTCCTTGCACTTGCAACTTGCACTCTCCTTGCACTTGACTCCATGCACTTGCAACTTGCACTTGACTCCTTGCACTTGCAACTTGCACTTGGCTCCTTGCACTTGCAACTTGCACTTGACTCCTTGCAATGACTCCTTGCAATGACTCCTTGCAATGACTCCAATTGCAATGACTCCAATTGCAATGACTCCAATTGCAATGACTCCTTGCAATGACTCCAATTGCAATGACTCCAATTGCAATGACTCCTTGCAATGACTCCTTGCAATGACTCCTTGCAATGACTCCTTGCAATGACTCCTTGCAATGACTCCTTGCAATAACTCCTTGCAATGACTCCTTGCAATGACTCCTTGCAATGACTCCTTGCAATGACTCCTTGCAAGGACTCCTTGCAATGACTCCTTGCAATGACTCCTTGCAATGACTCCTTGCAATGACTCCTTGCAATGACTCCTTGCAATGACTCCCTGCAATGACTCCTTGCAATGACTCCTTGCAATGACTCCTTGCAATGACTCCTTGCAATGACTCCTTGCAATGACTCCTTGCAATGACTCCTTGCAATGACTCCTTGCAATGACTCCTTGCATTGACTCCTTGCAATGACTCCTTGCATTGACTCCTTGCAATGACTCCTTGCAATGACTCCTTGCAATGACTCCTTGCAATGACTCCTTGCAATGACTCCTTGCAATGACTCCTTGCAATGACTTAACACGCCCTTGCAATGACTCTTGCAATGAATCTTGCAATGGACTCCTTGCATGACTCCTTGCAATGCGCTTTGCGCTTGCAGCTCCTTGCAATGACTCCTTGCAATGACTCCTTGCAAGGACTCCTTGCAATGACTCCTTGCAATGACTCCTTGCAATGACTCCTTGCAATGACTCCTTGCAATGACTCCTTGCAATGACTCCCTGCAATGACTCCTTGCAATGACTCCTTGCAATGACTCCTTGCAATGACTCCTTGCAATGACTCCTTGCAATGACTCCTTGCAATGACTCCTTGCAATGACTCCTTGCAATGACTCCTTGCAATGACTCCTTGCAATGACTCCTTGCAATGACTCCTTGCAATGACTCCTTGCAATGACTCCTTGCAATGACTCCTTGCAATGACTCCTTGCAATGACTCCTTGCAATGACTCCTTGCAATGACTCCTTGCAATGACTCCTTGCAATGACTCCTTGCAATGACTCCTTGCAATGACTCCTTGCAATGACTCCTTGCAATGACTCTTTGCAATGACTCTTTGCAATGACTCCTTGCAATGACTCCTTGCAATGACTCCTTGCAATGACTCCTTGCAATGACTCCTTGCAATGACTCCTTGCAATGACTCTTTGCAATGACTCCTTGCAATGACTCCTTGCAATGACTCTTTGCAATGACTCCTTGCAATGACTCCTTGCAATGACTCCTAGCAATGACTCCTTGCAATGACTCCTTGCAATGACTCCTTGCAATGACTCCTTGCAATGACTCCTTGCAATGACTCCTTGCAATGACTCCTTGCAATGACTCCTTGCAATGACTCCTTGCAATGACTCCTTGCAATGACACCTTGCAATGACTCCTTGCAATGACTCCTTGCAATGACTCCTTGCAATGACTCCTTGCAATGACTCCTTGCAATGACTCCTTGCAATGACTCCTTGCAATGACTCCTTGCAATGACTCCTTGCAATGACTCCTTGCAATGGCTCCTTGCAATGACTCCTTGCAATGACTCCTTGCAACGACTCCTTGCAATGACTCCTTGCAATGACTCCTTGCAATGACTCCTTGCAACGACTCCTTGCAATGACTCCTTGCAATGACTCCTTGCAATGACTCCTTGCAATGACTTCTTGCAATGACTCCTTGCAATGACTCCTTGCAATGACTCCTTGCAATGACTCCTTGCAATGACTCCTTGCAACGACTCCTTGCAATGACTCCTTGCAATGACTCCTTGCAATGACTCCTTGCAATGACTCCTTGCAATGACTCCTTGCAATGGCTCCTTGCAATGACTCCTTGCAATGACTCCTTGCAATGACTCCTTGCAATGACTCCTTGCAATGACTCCTGCAATGACTCCTTGCAATGACTCCTTGCAATGACTCCTTGCAATGACTCCTTGCAATGACTCCTTGCAATGATTCCTTGCAATGACTCCTTGCAATGACTCCTTGCAATGACTCCTTGCAATGACTCCTTGCAATGACTCCTTGCAATGACTCCTAGCAATGACTCCTTGCAATGACTCCTTGCAATGACTCCTTGCAATGACTCCTTGCAATGACTCCTTGCAATGACTCCTTGCAATGACTCCTTGCAATGACTCCTTGACATGACTCCTTGCAATGACTCCTTGACATGACTCCTTGCAATGACTCCTTGACGTGACTCCTTGCAATGACTCCTTGCAATGACTCCTTGCAATGCCTCCTTGCAATGACTCCTTGCAACGTGACTCCTTGCAATGACTCCTTGCAATGACTCCTTGCAATGGCTCCTTGCAATGGCTCCTTGCAATGACTCCTTGCAATGACTCCTTGCAATGACTCCTTGCAATGACTCCTTGCAATGACTCCTTGCAATGACTCCTTGCAATGACTCCTTGCAATGACTCCTTGCCACGACTCCTTGCAATGACTCCTTGCAATGACTCCTTGCAATGACTCCTTGCAATGACTCCTTGCAATGACTCCTTGCAACGACTCCTTGCAATGACTCCTTGCAACGACTCCTTGCAATGACTCCTTGCAATGACTCCTTGCAATGACTCCTTGCAATGACTCCTTGCAACGACTCCTTGCAATGACTCCTTGCAATGACTCCTTGCAATGACTCCTTGCAACGACTCCTTGCAATGACTCCTTGCAATGACTCCTTGCAATGACTCCTTGCAATGACTCCTTGCAACGACTCCTTGCAATGACTCCTTGCAATGACTCCTTGCAATGACTCCTTGCAATGACTTCTTGCAATGACTCCTTGCAATGACTCCTTGCAATGACTCCTTGCAATGACTCCTTGCAATGACTCCTTGCAATCCTTGCAATGACTCCTTGCAATGACTCCTTGCAATGACTCCTTGCAATGACTCCTTGCAATGACTCCTTGCAATGACTCCTTGCAATGACTCCTTGCAATGACTCCTTGCAATGACTCCTTGCAATGACTCCTTGCAATGACTCATTGCAATGACTCCTTGCAATGACTCCTTGCAATGACTCCTTGCAATGACTCCTTGCAATGACTCCTTGCAGTGACTCCTTGCAATGACTCCTTGCAATGACTCCTTGCCATGACTCCTTGCACTTGACTCCTTGCAATGACTCCTTGCAATGACTCCTTGCAATGACTCCTTGCAATGACTCCTTGCAATGACTCCTTGCAATGACTCCTTGCAATGACTCCTTTCCATGACTCCTTGCAATGACTCCTTGCAATGACTCCTTGCAATGACTGCTTTGACTCCCTTTACAATGACTCAGCACGTGGCTCCCGCTGCAATGGCTCAGCACTGATGACTCCTTTCTGTGACTCCTTTGTGGCTCCTTACAACGACTCCCTTTGTGGCTCCTTTACAATGACTCAGCACACGTGGCTCCTTTCTGCCCGACTCCGCTGCAATGACTCAACAATGACTGCTGACTCCTTGCAAACTCCTTGCACTCCTTGCACTCCTTGACTCCTTGCAATGACTCCTTGCAATGACTCCTTTCATGACTCCTTGCAATGACTCCTTGCAATGACTCCTTGCAATGACTCCTTGCAATGACTCCTTGCAATGACTCCTTGCAATGACTCCTTGCACTTGACTCCTTGCAATGACTCCTTGCAATGACTCCTTGCAATGACTCCTTGCAATGACTCCTTGCAATGACTCCTTGCAATGACTCCTTGCAATGACTCCTTGCAATGACTCCTTGTAATGACTCTCATGAGAACAACTCAAGTGAATGATGGAAAACAGCTACAAAACCAAAACCCACAACAACACCCCTTACCCCCCCCCCCCCCCGCCCCCCCTCACAAGACCTCAGCCAGGCGCCCTATTTTTACAATCATTTTTGGGGGAGGAACAGCAACTGCCCAGGGCAAACTCCAAGTGGCGGATTGATCAAGGGCTGCCCTTTGAGGCCTCGGTTCACCTCAGCTTCGATGCCACAAGAAGGGGGCAAGCAGCCCCATTCAAATTTTGTGCGCAGTCTTATTGATTGAACTCGATTTGGCCAGTTTCTTTGGCGTGCTGATCAATGTGCCCGTTTTCTGGGCACCTCTTTGAGTGGTTGGACCAGTTCTGATAAGGCGGGGCGTTCGGCATTCCGCGGAATTCAACCGCGTAGCTTTGAGTGAAACGCCCTCAGCTTCTGAGGCTCATGATCCCTAGGAACAATCGAAATCGTGAGCCCAGTTCTATTCGAAAGCTTCTTGGAAGGAACCCACAAGGGGGAACCGCAAGGGGATTTGATGACGATGGCGATGATGATGCCATGATGATGTACTGCTACCCCCGCCCCCCTTTGCCCCCTTAAAAGCTAAAATTGAAGAGAGACTAGGCGCAAACATGGCCGCTCTCGCGCTTCGGCCGGGTCGCATAGAAAATGCGATGGCCTGGGTCGGTGTCCTCAAGCCAAAGAATGGCCACCACGAAAAGGTTTAGTTGCGAATTGTCGGAACCGCGGGGCGGCCTGTTGCGGCTCAATGGGCCTTTTGAAACTTGCGTAGGAGGGTTTGGAACTGACAATGCAACCTGACCAAAGGTCTCTTGGACAATTTTCGTCTTAGAGGAGATTCATTGCCATAACAGCGGGACAACACGATTGTGGAAACATCATGTCAATATGAGCAGTGTGTTTTACGGGGGGGGGGGGGGGCTATACGTTGCGTGCTCGCTTAGGCGACGCGTGTATGCATTTGGGCGTGCGTTACGCAGGCCGTTTTTCTACCTTGAGCTTCGGAACGCCGAGTCAGCCATTGCCGGTTTGGAGCTTTTCAGTTTTTAGTGCAACGCAGGCTGGCAGCCCCAGCTCTACATCGCAACTTGATCGAAGGTCACCGTGAAAGGAGATAACATGAGCAGCGGCAGCTCGTCTGGAAAGGGACAGACGGAGCCTACGCGCGGATTCAAGCAATTGTGACTTAACACATGCATGCTTACTGGCTACTGCGCAGCAATGCGTGCAGGGATGCAAATCAAATAGCTACCATGTCCAATGTAGCCACGCATAGCCTCCACCACAGCAAAAAGTGAAGCTTCAGGCCATGCGAAACCCCATCCCTGTATGCGAACATGATCAAGTTCAAGCTTGTATGAACCTTTCATCCAAAAATATGGTTGTTCCAAATTCCATTGTCTCAAAACGGCCATTCTTCGCGAAACAACCATTGCTGTCGCGAATCTTTCGCGGATTCGTCGGTGTGAACTCTTAACTGCTGCAGTCAGGTAGTCGCAAGTTTTCAGCACAAGTGCAGCACGCAAATGCGCTTCCATCAGCTCCACCTGGAAAGTCGCAGCTTTTACGTCTGAGAAAAGCTGCGGGGTGAAGCAAGACACGCCGCAATCTGTTTTGGCTTTATAACGCTATCTGTCCTGCTTCCGCTAATCGGTTTTCAGTATCTTGAGCCATTGCGCGTCTACGCAAGTTCCTGTAGCCTTCTCGGGCGGTCTTCCCGTAGTGGGCCGGTAACCTTGCTTTCACTACTCTCCAGGTAGTCGTCCGCTTGAAGTCTACCTATCGGAAGTCTTCACGCAGCCTTTCCGCTGACGTGTTGTTGTTGTTGTTGTTGTTGTTGTTGTTGTTGTTGTTGTTGTTGTTGTTGTTGTTGTTGTTGTTGTTGTTGTTGTTGTTGTTGTTGTTGTTGTTGTTGTTGCTCTTGTTGTTCTTGTTGTTCTTGTTGTTCTTCTTGTTGTTGTTGTTGCTGCTGCTGCTGTTTGTCCTCCTTGTAGGTTTACAGTGGCTTTGCGGTCTTCTTTTGAGATACTACGGTGTTTTTCTTTTCCACGGTTTGGGTGGTAAACCCTTCCAACTTCCCAACGTCACACGAGAAAAGGCTTGCGTCATGAATTTCATCATCTGTAAGCTTCGTGTTGGGCCACGTGGAGGGCTGACAAACTGACCCGCTTTGGGCGTTCGATGCAGGCTTCCTGTAAAGGTGGCGCTGCATGGCAGCAACATGCTCCGAAGACCCGACTCTACAATGGTTGTAGACATTTACCCCCTCTTTGGACCGTCTTGACAAGGGTCACCCGTCACTTGGGCCAACTGGCAACGAGAATGTGGGCCAACATGATTCAGATCCCCTTAAACCGGGCTGCTAGTCCCTAAAACTTAAACCGGGCTTCTAGTTTCTATGGGGACATACTTCTCCTAAGGCGTCAAGAAGAAAACTCCTTGGACCGTCCAAAAGCTGCACAAAACAGGAAATAAGTTGACTCTTGGTTTAAGGAATGGTCTTCACTAACTGGAACTTTTTCAAATCGCCGAACTCTCGAAGAGTTTTGGATGATGCTCAACTTCAACCGTCTGGTTTGTTGGCTGCTGTTCGTTTGTGATTTATTTCTTGGTTGTTGTCGGCTGTCGCCTGTTCCAGCCTTTCTCCCAACAGCGTTGTTGTTTTTGGCCTCTCCCCCCGAGATTCCTGGATCACGGTGCTGAAGGGTCTTAGCAGCAGCGTGGTCGCATCCAGCCAGACGCCCCCGTGCTTGGCCTTGGGGCTTGGGCTGCCGACTGGAGCGGATGTTCACCAAATGTTGAAACAGGGGGTCCGCAAGCAAGAAACAAAACATGGTTGTGGAAAACCAGTTTTTCCTTTTGGTGGCTTTCCTCGTGCTGGCCTCTTTTAGGGATGCCAGCATCACGTGGACTGGGTTGGGACTGGGTATTCTCTGGGGGCCTTGTTTGGCCTGGTGGGCCGCATCTCCAGCATCACCGGCCTCACTTGGACACCTAGGGCTGCCAAGTAGGTCCGATTTGGTCGCAGTTGGGAGTTGCTCGGGTTGGTCTAAGGCTGCTTTTGGGCTGATATCCAGGCTGCTGTTGGTGGGGTGCCAAACCAATCGCAAACCAGCCCAATCATTGGTTCTGTTTGTTCAATATGTTCAGTTCAAACCGGAACAGCCACTTGGTGGCATGCTCTGGGAATCCTGCATACAAGAGGGCTTTGACTCGATACGGCTCTTTGGGGAACAGCGACTTCATGCTGAAAGCACATACTGTACACATTTAAGCAATGCATGAGTCACCACAAGTTCGATATACTATGTAAACTGATGTAGCACAAAAATACTTTGATCTTGACCGTGTTTGTAGGGCCACGCCTCAATTTAAATAGAGAAAGTCTGCAGGTATCGCCACTAGCCAACAAAACACTAGTCACCAAGGCATGCTGCATCCCCCTCAAATAATGCGTTTGTCACCGCCCATCTCGTTGCAGGCTTTTCCCCTTGTATGAAAGGAGAAGACAGATAACATAAAACAGAAATAAAACATGAGGAAATACTAGCGCAAGAACGTAATAACAGGAGACAGGGACGGTCGTCATCCAGCCATTATGTTTGCTTCTACAACTAGAACCCCACGAGACATATCTGGAAAGATAAAGGGAAGAAAGGAAAACAACAAGAAAGCAAAAACAATCCAGCATTCTCATGTTGAAGATTTATTCTGCATTGCAATAGTACCTTAGTCACCAATCATAAACTACTGTTGGAACCGTAGTTTTTACCCGTAAAAGCTTTTTATTACACCTATTCCCTGGGTATTCCTAGGTTTGCATGTACCATCAGAAAATCAAGTCCAGCAGACTTGACTTGGTAAGTGAGCCTCTCCAATAGCAAGAGCTGTCCGCCAAATGCCTGATTGCCATGCTGGACTCAGAGAGAGGAAGACCCTGGTAGTGCGCTTTCGCAAAAGATGCGAACACTACAAATAGCGCACCCCCCCTATTTGGTTTTTCGTTTTGCGCCCGCCTCATTTTTCAGGGGGACCTTTTGGTTTTGTCCTTCGGCTTTTCACGGGACGCGTCTGGTTCGGACCGAATCACCTTCGAGGTCCGGAGGGCACGTCGGCCGTTTTGACCTATGACCCCAAGGCAGGGGATGGAATAGTTTTTCGCTTTGGTGTCCCATGAAATTCCCCAAAAAGGGCACCCTCGTAGGCTCAAGAGAACCCTGGGGTCAAGAGAACCTTTCATTTCGGGTGGTAGCCGACTGCATGGGTTGAAGCCGTAAAGGTTTCCTCCCTTCTTGAGGGATTTTCAGTTGTGTTTCCCGAATTTCAGGGATTCGTGGAACGGTCGAAGCCCCAGAGTGGGAAAATCAGTGTCAGCATAGGTGTCCTCTCAGTAAATACTATGAATTCCACTGGATGAACAGAACCGATTGAAAGAACTATCAATTTCCATCAGCCAGAGGTCTGATGCTCACGCTCACGGTTAAACAAACATACTGAAAAGTTCTTCGGAAGCCCCAAGCAGACGTTCAGCCCAGGTAAAGCTTGAGGCGAGAAGACAAGCTGTTTCAGAGAATTGGGAACACAAAGCAACCGGTTTTCCCCCTAGAGATACGTTTAGGCAGATAACAGGCTTGCCCCAAGGGCGCCGGCATTTTCCGATGGGGTTGATCGGGTTTTGGGAACTCGGAGAATTCCCTGGTTGGGAGAATCCCATTCCAGAAGTCAAGGATCCCACTGAATTAAATGGGACCCCGATCCGTCAGGGTCTAATCCTAGCTGAACGTGGCTTTCGCAACGGGCGACTCGAAACGAAACCCGCGGCCGGGTCCTTTGGGCCTCCCCGCCACCAACGCCAAACGGATTGCATCCGAGCGGTGCCAGATCTTCAGCGCGTGAAAGCCTCCCAATGGAGTGGTATGCCCCTGGGTGTTTTGAGTATCACCATTCTTTGGCGGCATGCCGCCTTTTTGGTGCCTTGAGTGGTTTGAATATCACCAGTTTTGTGTTGGTTTTCCATTTCGGGCGGTTGGCACATCAGCTTTGGAAGGGCAATAAAGAAATGAGTTTCCTGCTAGGGTGCTTAACTGGGATGTTTGACCCTTTCCGAAACTCCCTAAAACAATGCCTACAGGGTTCAGCTCAAAAAGGCCATGACAATGTCCTTTCCTCTTCTCTGCCGCCGATTAGCTCTTCCAAAACCAGCAACTCTACCGCGGTTTGGGAAAACCTGAAACGAAGGATGGAGAGAATGGGGGACCGTGTGCAGCTAGACATGTGCCTAGTAGATTCTAAGAAGCATCGCAAAAGTTTTCCGGGAGGCCTGACCAAAAATGGAGGCACCTGCAGATCCAAACCAATCGGGCGATTTATCTTGGCTATCTGGGGAACCAATATAGCGTGTTGCCTGTTTCGCCCAGATTGGGTTGTAAACCATCATACTGAACAACTGGAGGCTTTTCTTTTGTGGAACTCCTCCAGCGAAACAAGTAGCTTCGCTTCGGTGTCCTTTCGAGACAAGCACCCCAAAACAGCCTCGGTTATACTTCACTGACACTGAGGACATCTCCAGAACCTCCCATTCTCGACAGTGTCGCTTGGGGGAACAATTGGGGAAGTCGAGCGACAGTTGTGAAACCTGGGAAGGCGCCAGACCTTAACCCTTCCCAAGATTTTAAAAGAGTACGTATGACTTGGAGGTCATTTCACCTGGCCAACCCATCAAGGCGGGTGGAATAATAACCGATCTTCAGAACTTCCGGCAGCAGCTGCGAAACATGGGCAGCGACCTCAAACATATTTCACAAGGTGAATGCCCAAATGAGGGGATCAACCCTTCACCAGTGAATCCCAGTACTCGCTTTCGGCAAACAATTATGCTCCTTGCGGTTGCAAAGTTGCAAATTGAACTGTGGTGAGCCGCTTGGGTACCTGTAAATGGAGTACCTACGCTTACAGCATACTCTAAAACTTGAAGCTCGTGAGAACCGAGTGAACTCTTTTAGACGAGCTCGGTGCATGCCTTCCCGACGTTAAAGCATGGACATAGTATGCAAATGAAGATCCTTCGAATGAATGCATTGAATTGTTTGGATTGATTTGGTCAAACTGACCCAGTACTTCTTCTCGGTTTGAGAGGTGAATTTCCGACGGGCGCAAGGGTTCCGTGGGACCTTTTGGGTGCGCTTTGGGGCCCTCTGGAAAATCGTAAGTACTTGGAGCCCGTCTTTACCTCCGCAAGCGACCCAGCAGTGAAGCTATGTCACTGCTCTCCATACCCCCCCCTCAATCTTTACGTGTATATTCAACTCCAGCAGTCCTTTTCAACCAGTATGAGCCTTCTTTTCACACGTTTCACGAAGCCCGTAACATTTGGGCGGTGGAAACAAAGAATCAGTGAACACGGGGGATCAAGCTTGCGAGTCTTGGAATATTCGGCAACTACGTTCGTTAAAAAGAAGAATACATCATGTGAAGCATAGAGGTACCCTCCTTCTCCGTCTCTGCCAAATCTTGGGGAAATAGATTTCCACCAAAATGAACTTCGATGACTTGATAATTTGATGCTTAGAAAGCCAGAGGTAGCGTTGCCCGGAAACTAACGTGGAAACTGGGTGAATTATGATAATGCATCAACTGAACTGAAGGGGAAACCGGAAACAAAAACCCTTCATCCCGAGTTGTTGGCTGCAAACACCTGACGTGTGAGGTCGCAATGTCTTTGCAAAAGAGAGAATCAATTGGAGCCAAAATGATACCAGCTTGGATCCATCTGTTTTTCGCCGTCGATCTCCGACATATTGATGCAGCTAGGAAATTCCAGGGGAAGAGCCCCGTGGAGGCCTTTGGGCAAGTCTTCTAGCGCAATGTAGTTCCACATCGTGTCCTCAGCGAAAGCCGACCCCGTTCCAGCCCAATGAACCAGTAAAAGCCCGCGCATTGGGCGTTGATCCTTCAAGAGGTTCCCGTATTCCCGTGGTTGTAAAGGAGGACACTTTGAAAGGGTCCGATCACCACAAAGGAATTGAGAGATTCTTGCGTTGGCTAGGTTTGTTTGCTTGTTTGCTTGTTTCTTTGCTTGCTGGCTGTCCGCTTCCCTTCCGAGGAAAACGCAAGCCGCAAACAAAGCCCTCGGTCCTGGTCCAGCATGCGCACCTCCCAGCCAGGGTTCAGTTTCCTGGAAGGAGAGGAGCATCGCCCTATTCTGAATTCATCGGATGGCAGGGCCCGGAATACCCCGAAGTTGACATTCAACGCACTTGTGAGGGACGTTTTGGGGTTGGTGAAAGGGACCAACCATCTTTGCCAAGCCCTGATTTTGTTCAAGTCAGGGGGGCCCGAAATGGCAACGGTTTGCTTTTGGTTCACGAACCGGAAGAAATCCGAGCCCAATGGTCCTCCAGGAGCTCTGGCACAAATTCCGGAATGCCAGGCCCTGATGCGCTCTTTCCTGGAGCGTCTTGTTGAAAGGCACCTGCGCCATTCACCCCCGCCCCGGCCTAAACAGTGCTGGGGTAAAGGGTGCCCTTTAAGAATGGTGTGCAAAGATCACGGAGTCGTTTACCTCAGGAATGCTCGCTTGGGGCTTGTGTTAAGACCTAGCGATCTTGAACTAAGCCGTGGTTGACCGATTTGTTTGTTACATGGAGAATTCTGCCCGGGGAGGTCTCGGGTCCAAGTGCGTCATCTTGGCGGACTTGGCAGAAACTGCTTGACGATGTCCCGTCACAGAATGCCAAAATCGGTCTGGAGTACTGGGGCCTGAAATGCAACTTCCACAAGGTCGGCAAGGAACCTCGCTGCCGTGGCACCCACGCAGGTCCCAACAAAATCGGTCCAAATCAGCGATCGCTTTTTGCGCTGCATGTTGGGTCGGGCCAACCGCTTGTTTTGAACCTGTGTGCACAAGTGTTGTTCAAACATCCTCATTTCGAGTTTTCCATAAACTGGTCCATGTTGGGTGACCAACTTCGGAACAGCCAGGAGTTGGTCGCAAAGTGACGCCGAAACATGAAGGTTCAGTCAGCACCAAACATAAACTGAAGGCCAAGAGTTGACTCTGAGCTTGCGGAGTGGTGGGAGCTACAACCACACACACACACACCTGTGGGATGTCTGGATTTGGCTGCCTTACACAGGCAGAAGGAACAACCTTGCGGCCAAAATGGCCTACACCGGACTGCTTGTCCAATCAGAGGCAAGAAGTTGCCCGAAGCGCCTTAGGCCTTCTAATGGCAATATTTCGGTTTGATTGGTTGGGCCCGCTTGAGGACATGGCACATACATGGTTGGAATGATTGCGCCAAGCATTTTGAAGGGTGGTGCTGTGAACTCACAGCTAGCTGTGCTCTCTTGGCTTGGTTAGATGCCAAGGCAAATCCAATGGTTTTTCCGGGGAAGCGGATTTTCTTGGGACTTCCTTGGATCTTCAGGGTAGTTTGCTCGAAATTAGTTCAAAAGATACTCAATCATTGGAATGGGTCTTCTAGTGTTTTGTGGGCCTCGGCACCAAACAAAGGGATTAGGGTGGAATCGGCTGAACAACAAAGAACAACGGATCCTAGCACTTACTCCATGCCTTCCAAAGCCACTCGTCCTTATCTGCTAGAAGTCTCTTTCACCTGTCTGACATGGAGGGTTGAAATTCCTGTCCCATTTCCATAAGGGTTGGGTATCTTTTGAGAATGGGTTCTGAAGAATCAAACGGGGGCAACTAATAGCAAACTAAAAGGGTACCAAGGGACCTTTGGAAATCGGGAAGCTGCTGGGGGGGGGACGTCCTTTGACACACTCAGTCACTCTCTCTTTCCCAACCGTTTCGATGCCATTGGCCTCCGTACAAGGATTCTGTGCCGCTCCCTGCAACAAAAGCTTCAGCCATGGCAACTTGACGCATTTGGCGAGTGACTCACACTGGAGATCTATCACCCCAGTACTTCTTTCGGCGCCTGGAGGTCCTCCCAGTAGGACCAAATCACCTGAGGCAAAGCGTCCAAGTTCAATGGCTAGCCGTGCCTTTGTGCGGGAACCCTTTTCAAGAAACTGAATGGACCACCACCATCTTGGTTTGAACCCCCAGCCTGCCTTGGGTACCAGCGGCCGCGGGGGGTTGTAGACCCCCACCTGGGCTCGGCGCAGCATTTTTGTGCCTCGTTTGGCACAAGCCGATGGCAACTTGGCAACTTTGGCTCAATGAAAGGATAGCCGAAACACGAGACCTGAAGCGGAAGTGCCCAACATTTTCGAAGATGAATCAATAAGCACGGGCTTAAATATGGGTCCCTACCATGTGCTGATTGGAAAAGAGGGACATGAACGAGTCACAAACTAAAGATCAGGCATTTGGTCGGCGGAAAGCTGCTTCCTGCACCCAAAGCAAGTGTCGGAGTGGTGCCGGGGGGGTGGGGGTGGGGGCTTCGAAACTTGTCTGCCACGCGCAAAGAGCTTCGGCTAAGTAACCTGATGTTTGTTGGCCCTTCGCTTAAATTTCGAAGAAACCTAACAAGTACAAGCAGCGGGTACAAGCACCAATTGAGCACGGTTTTCGAGAGTTAAAAGACTGTTAACAGGTGTCGATGTACCTCCTCAACCAAATACTGGGCCCAGGCAAAATTGAAGCTTGGCTCAAAAGGTAAATGCTCCATGAGGGTCCCTTCCGGCTCTGAAAATGCCAGCAGAGTGTTCCAAAGTCGATGAAGATCCGATCCCAAGCCGAGCTGCGCTATCATGAAGCCATCGCCGCCTGGGCCCCGAAGGCTTTGGGCACCGAGACTGGGCCAAGAGATGTTTGGTAACACCTCAGTGGTAGCGGTTTCATGTCTTCACAGACAAGCTACAGGACCCCAACGAAACGCTTTCGTGGCTCCAATATAGCGCCACGTGGGAAAAAAAGAGACAATGCATGTATCCATTGGCTGCTCGTTGGGCATAGCTCTCAAAGAGATCCAAGCTTCTTGCTCTTTGTGCCTACCAAACGGCAAGAACAGCAACTGCCACGCCAACTACGAGCTGTGGTTCTTGGCACGTGACGCTAGAAAAGACCCACCAAAACGGGTAGAATCCAGAGCCACAACCTGCGAGCCTCCAGAAGCACTGGAACCGCTCGTCTCCGTCCGCGGCGGCTGGCAGCATGCCGTCCTCCTAAGGTGACTGAAGATCCTTAGCCCATACGATCATTCCGGAATTGGAAAGGGAATTCTTAGCAGGTTTGCTTCTTTGCCATCATGCCGCAGTGGAACAAACCAATGGTGACTAACCAATGAACAGAATCTGTGGTCTGGGTGAGGTCGCAAACTGATTCCGAGAGGTGAGCGTAAATCTGACACAAGCATTTTTGCCAGGCAAAGACGTGGCAGAGGGCTACATCTGCCGCGTGAAACAACCAAATCTGAGGTTGGCGGCATGTCTCAAATGGTTGACTTCTTTTGGACGGGGCCAAAGAGAAACCAATGGGTTTCCGGGTCTTCAAGCCTGCTCATGACCATCAACCGGGCCGTTGCGCTTCCCTGGTATACTGGGAGCAAATCTCTTCCCACGACCTGGGTCTAACCCCAAAAGAAACGAGAACATGGAGAATTTCACCAAAAGCTGTGGATATGTTTTAAAGCGACTTTCAACCTGGCCATAAAACGTCTTTCTTTTGGTCAGCAGTTTTTGGACACCCCGCCGTGCCACTCCGTTTTGGAGGAAAACCAAGGGCCCTACCCGAGGAAAGTGTTTCTTTTGAACGCGTCACTGTGGCACGCCCAGGCTGACACCGAGATCGACTGCACAGCAGTCCTTCAGGATGAGGCTGCACCCACCGTCATCTTTGGTGACGTATCCTGCCGGTACTGCTCGAGAATGCGATATGAGTGCCTTTCAGTGGATAGCGCTTGGGGCCGGTAACCACCACCCAATTCTACTTTTTGAACCACTCCCGTAACACACTCCGAAAGGCTAACGAAGCCTGGGTGCCGCTTGTCTGGCCCCCGAAACCCCATCTGCTTCTGAACTCACACATTGCAGAGGGGAGCGGCGTGGGCAATTTTGATAGTGATTTCTGGCCTTGCGTTTTTTGGAACAGCGATCGGGGGGAGCTGCGCAAGCCGGGTTACACAATCAGCCAAAATGAACGACCCCATGGTGGATTTCTCAACAAAGCGACAGGGACCGCAAAAAACATCTATCTGAAGAGGAATCTTCTCTTGGGGGCCTCGTTTGCAATGTGAATTCGCAAGGGCTGGTGTGGGTGGGTGCTCTTTTTCAAAAGCAGCGCGTCAAATTTGCGGGATGCACCCGAGCACCCCTGGAAGGGTTTCCGCATCCAGAGTCAAACTTCTTGCGAGGAATGGACACCATGCACAATTTCCTATGTTGTGTGGAAATGCCCGGGCATTGTATGTTTGATGATGCCACATGCGCGGCTGAGGTTGCCTGCAACGCTGAGCCAACTTGGAAGGATGGACTTCTTGCTTCGCAAATAACTACAGTTTGCAACATCCAAATCTGATTTACCAACATGGCAACGTAGATTGGACATGGCGGATGGGACCGTTCAGAGAATTCAAACAATACAGTGATAAAGTCACGCCCAGTGTGCAGAAATAACCACTTCATGACGTAGCAGAACAAACACCCTCAGCTTGTCGCCTGACGCACCAAAGCGGAGGTCAGTAGTAGCCAGTGCGTTGAGCCGAGTCACCCGTGCATTGGTCGTCCGCCGCGCAGCTTGCCCGACCTGGCTCGACGTGACACATCCGGCAACTCCCAAAATTCAGAAAACAATGAACTAGCAGTAAAGTTGGCGAAGCGGCTGAGTTTTTCTTTGCTGCATAGCCCTGGCATTGGCCTAACCCTGGCACAGCCTGGTTTGCACGAAAGGAGACACTAACGGACAAAGGTTTGGGCTGGGTTTTGTTTCAGGTAGGTTCAGGCCCGGCATCGTTTTAACATCCTCAGCATCACAAGGCAGCTTAGTGCTGGTTTATGGTGAGGCTTCTTGGGGTTGGTCTCGGATGGGTTTAGGGCTGGTTTACGGTGGGTTCAAAAATGGCTTCAGTCGTGGTTGTGTTAAGTGGGGCTTCAACACAACCATGCCGACGCCAATTTTAAATCCACCCTAAACCAGCCCTAAACACACCCGAGACCAACCCCAAGAAGCCCCACCATAAACCAGCACTAAACCATCTACCTCAAGCACAGCCACCTCCAAATTTGCTCTCAGTAGGCTTGGAACTCACCCGGAGCCAAGCCTGTGCCAACCTGGAACCCACCCTAAACCCAGCCAACAAAAGCCTGGTGATGCTGAGGATGTTAAAACGATTCCGGGCCTGAACCCCAAACCTACCCTAAACCTACCCTAAACCTACCCTGGCGCCAACCAACCAACCAACCAACCAACCAACCAACCAACCAACCAACCAACCAACCAACCAACCAACCACTTGCCAGGGTTAGCCCTGTGCCAG